CCCTCCCTTCTTTCCTTCCCTCCCTGTCTTACCTCTACCCACCTACACATGGTCCCACAAAAGAAGATGGTAGGATTCTGGGATTTAGGTTCAGGCTAAACAGGCTTCAAGCTAAAAGTAATCACAGCATCTTAACATCACCCAAACTGGCAATTTAATTTGTTTCTAACAAGTACAGAGATCCATTATGCACAAAGGGCTGCCAATAAGGTCAAAGACAAGGGAAATTCAAAAATAAATGTAAGAAGAGGAGTCATTCACAACACAGCATAGAGCATTAGGCGTGCTGTCTACCTTTTTCATGATATACATGAACGATAACAATCTTAGGTGACAAAAATAAAATGTGTTCCTAAACACAACAGGTGCTATTTATACCCTAGGAGTTTCTGTAGTCCTTCCTTTTGGAAAGGGAAGACCACACTGATTCCTTCAAATGTACTGTATGCTAAGGGTATTTGCCAACCCAGTGACTTTTCTTTGCAAGGAACAGAAAATACAATGGGAATTTACCTCCTCCCACAATCCTAATGGTCCAGAGGCAATCACACTTCATCAGGTCCTCCCCGCTACTCCTGCTTAAGTGAGTGTCCCCACCCCAGCCTCAGACAGTCAGCAGGATGCCTTCTGTACCAAGATAAGTACAAGTATCTCTTCCAGTGACAGTGAGGAAATTACCTCTCTCAAAGCCCAAGTTCATCTCACATCAATCAAACTGGGTCAAATACCCATTCCCAAACCAGTGTCCATGGCCTATGCATGAAGGACCGTCCTTGGCCTAGTCTGACCTGGACCTACGGGTGCAGCCAGCAGCCTTCTCTGAAGCACGCAGACCATGTGGAACAAAAATAGGAATATTTAAAAGAAAACGGCAAAACAAAAATCTGAGAATTAAATACTACTATGCCAAGAACACTTTAAAACATACCTGTATTTTTGAATACATACACACTTATACACACGTGTATGTGTTTGTATACACATGTAAACAGGAATGCACACACTTCATAGGTGCAGGAAGTCCCCAGTTACAACTGAAATAGGCTCTGTAGGTTTGTTCTTAAGCTAAATTTGCACGTCACTTGAACAGGTACCTTTATTCCCTGTAATAGCCTCCGTTCATGTGAGCCCCATGTCAGTTGGATGTTTATAACTTGGGACTGCCTGTACACACATACATGCATGTATATAATTGCATATATAACCTAAGACATCCAGTCCAGATGAAGAGAGAGGGACTCTAGATAGTACGTGCCCAGCCAGCACTTCAGTAACTGCAATGATGAGTCTCATAGGAGCTCAACTGCAGGAGAAGCCAGAGGGGACATGGCCAAGGAACAGCCACGGAGAGAAGCAGAGAAAGTGAAGCAAAGAGGATTAAGAAAGACAGAGACAGTTGGTAGCTCCTTTATGTGTTCTGAAATTTCATCTCAAATGCATGAGTACTAGAAGCACTTAAAACGTTAAATATCCCTTGCAAATTTAATATCCATTGTCTGAAATTCACCAACGCAAAAAACAGTGCCACTTGGAGCACCTTGGACCAGGGATCACAAGCAAACCCAGAGCTAATTGCTAAGCAAGCAAACAAACAAACAAACAAATCACATTCAAAGACATCAGAATAGCAATGTTTAGGGCAGGGCCTGTGGCTCAGTGGGTAAGGCCCTAGCCCCATATATAGAGGGTGGTGGGTTCAAACTCGGCCCCGGCCAAACAGCAACAAAAAAATAGCCAGGCGTGGTGGCAGGTGCCTGTAGTCTCAGCTACTGGGGAGGCTGAGGCAAAAGAATGGCCTAAGCCCAGGAGTTGGAGGTTGCTGTGAGCTGTGTGATGCCACAGTGGCTGATTGGATCAGTGCTTGATTGAATCAATGATTGATTGGAACAGTGGCCGATTGGATCAGTGCTTGATTGGATCAGTGGTTGATTAGATCAGTGCTTGATTGGATCA